GCTTTTACTTATGACTCCTGACTGTATACTTAAAAGACTTTTTAGTTCATATCTTTACTGACTTCTCTTTAGTTTTTTTTTTTTTAAATATTTATTTATTTATTTATTTATTGTGTGGCCAGCTCAGCCCACCAGGGGGCAGACAGGCCGGCATGTGGTGCTGGGGGATTGAACCGAGGTCTCTGTGCTTTGCTTGAGCTTAGCTTGTTCTAAGTAGGTGCTTTAGACCACTGAGCCATCTCACCAGCCCCTCTCTTTAGTTTTTATTTTATTTATTTATTTATTTTTGCAGAGCCGGGGATTGAACTCAGACCCTGGCACTTGCCAGGGAAGCGCTTATTCTACTGAGCCATCTCCCCGGCCCTTCTCTTTAGTTTTTAACATTAGACATTTCTTTCTGCCTATAAAACTTGCCTTTTGTCCACACTGTTTCTGTTGTCTATTCCTTCTTGAGTTTTCTTTTTTGGTACCAAGTATCAAACTTGGGACCTTGTACTTGCCAAACAGATGCTTACGCCACTGAGCTATCTGCCACTGAGCTATCTTCGTCCACTCCTTCTTGAGTTTTTTTGTGAGCTTCTCTTCCCTGCCCATTCATAAATATTACCACACCCTAAGATTTGTCTCACCTCTTTTCTCTGTTTATCTGCTTTGCAGGCCAGCAAGATGGCTCAGCAGCATAAGCGTCTGCCTGTAGCCTCTTCTCTAGCTTTTCTATATCAGTATTGTGTAAATGTCTTAGATCAAATTGGTTAGCTCCATCCCAGCTCCCCTCTGCAGTTAAAGGCTCTGCTTGGCATCTCTCATTAACTCCACCAAAGATACTGAATTAACCTTGCTTTTCCCACTTTTTCAAGCTGTGCTGTGTGCAGCAGCTATTAAGTTTACATTCCTACTAATGGCATCACCCCATTCACCCATCCTTTAAAACTGGAAGCTTACAAAATTATTCCAAGCCCTTCCTTTTCCTTCAACTTCCACACCAGTTTTGGCCGTGCATCACTTTGATTCTTTTTCTTAGATACCTCATCAAGTGATGCCCTCCTTCCTCAGAGGCAGTTCCTTAGTTCAGGACTCTGCCATTTTTAATTTATTTGCATAACAACTTCCTAACCACTCCCCCCCCCTTTGGGACTGGGGATTGAACTCAGGACCCATATTCTACTAAACTATCTCCCCAGCCCCTCCTAACCACTTTCCTTACCAACAGTTTTTCTATTGTTTCACATCCATTCTTTCTGATGCATTGATTGGGGGGGGGGTAGAATAAAGTTTGGTTTTGTTTGCTTTTGAGGCAGAGGGGTTTTTTGTTTTAATGTATGTTAGTACAGGGTCTCACTACACAGATCGGACTCAGTGATCCCTCTGTTTTCAGCCTCCCAGGTGCCAGGATTACAGGTTTGGGCCACCACATTCAGTCCCAGTGCTGTCTCAGCCTGTCCCAGGGGTAGGCATTAAACCTGGTTCCCAGGTGCTTAATCTGCTGAGATAACTGCCCTAAGGCAGAATTTCATGGTTCAGGCTGGCTTTGAAGTCACTGTGAAGCCCATCCGGTCCTCAAACTCAGTGATCCGCCTGTCTCTCCAAGAAAACTTCTCTACTTTACCTTTGTTCAATCCTGTTTTGCATACCTCTCTCCTGGATTACTGGAATAAACTTTGTGTATGTAATGCTTGTGTTAGAAGGCATAATATCCTTTTGGGTTTCGTTAGTGTCTCACCTACCTTTTCCTTGTTGCTAGTACAAAATACCTGACACCCAAAATTAAGGAAAGGAAGGCTTATTTAGCAAACAGTTTGTGAATGGTTCAGTCAGCTGGCAGAGGGCAGAGGACAGCCTTTCACTGTGGTAGAAGATAGCACAGCACAAAGGGAGGAGTCTTAGCTGTGGCTGCTACAAAGCTTCTTTCCCCACTTTACATTGTAATGCAGATTATCTGCCCCAGGGCAGAGTGCAATGCTCAGACCCATAATCTCAGCATTGGATCAAGAATTAGTGTCACACACACAAGAATTAGTCACAGATTCTAAAAGCCGCCCCATGACTGCATGAGGCTTTTGGGGGGACAACTAGACACAAACCATAACAGCTGTATTGGAGATTAAACCCAGGGTCTCATGTATGCAAGCATGTTATCTTCCACTGAGCTACAGTATCCTGTCTTGGAATCATCTTGGGATTTTATTTTTTATTTTTTATTTATTTTTTTTATTTATTTATTTATTTTTTTTTGTGATAGGAATTGAGCCCAAAGCCTGTGTGCACTAGCTAAGCACTCTACCACCACTCAGCTCCCCAGCACATCATGTGCTTTGGCTGGCTAAAACTGCATTGTTAAGAATAAGGATTGTATCTTGAGTATCTTTAGTCCAGTGCTCAAATACACATGCTTCCTCAGCAAACTTTCAGTATGCCACTGAAAGTTTTCCTGCTAGGAGATTGTTTATGTATGTCTTGAAATCTACCTGAATGTATTTTTTCTTTCTGCAGGCCTAAGGCTTGAACCCGGGGCATTTGCAGTGAACTGTGTTCCCAGCACAATAGGTTTTTGTTTTTTTGTTTTTTAATTTCATTGAGAAATAGCAATGAGACAAGTTGCGAAACTGTTTAATATGACAGTTTCAATAATTAATACATTGCATATTGTTGTCTCCATAGTGGTTATTCGTAGTACAAGGTGCAGACATGATATGCTGTCCAAACACTTAGTACAAATCTTTCTTCTCAATAGTTTTAAATTTTCATTTTGCTTTGTGAGTTTTCTGCTTTCCTATAAAACTTAGATCAGGGGCCGGGGAGATAGCTCAGTAGAGTAAGTGCTTGCCTGGCAAGCGCAGGATCCTGAGTTCAATTCCCAGTACTGCAAGATACATATATATATAATACATAATATGTATATATATTATGTATATATATAAAGTAAAACTTAGGTGAACTGTGTCATTCAAAAAGGTGTTTTGCGATGGGTATGGCAGCACACGCCTGCATTCCCAGCACTCCAGGAGTCTGAGGCAGGAAGATTGCCGTGAGTTTGAGGGCAACATAAGCTAGGTAATGAGTTCAAGGTCTGAACTACATAGTAAGACACTGTCTCAAAAAACCAGAAAACATGTTTTTAAGCTGGGCATGGTGATGTATGTCTTAAATACCAGCACTCTGTAAGGCTGAGGCAAGAGAATCACAAATTGGTCCCAGCCAGGGCTGTTCAACAACTTAGTAAGACCCTGTCTCAAAATAGGAAAAAACCAGGCAGATACACACCTGTAGTCCTAGTACTTGGGAAGCTGGCCGTGTGTTCCAGCCATCCTATGGGTATAGTGAGCTGAAGACCAGCAAGACTCAAAAGGCCAGGGGGAAAGGGGTGCGGTGGATCTAACTCAGCATGAAGGCCTTGCGTTTAATCTGTAGTATTTGCCCAAATGAAAAAAAAAAAAAAAAGAAAGAAAGAAAAATATTACTGGAACCAAGATTAATAAGCTATAGTTTGTAAACTGATTTTATGATTTTCAACAAAGTTCTTTATAATCTTTGCATATAGTCTAACTAAATACTTCTGGCAACAGGGCTAGCCAAACAGCTCAGTGTATTAAAGCACCTGTAAGCGCTTGTAGGTGCAAGGGCGTGGGGGGGGGTGATGAGGGGAGTTTGATCCTCAGGCCTGCTGTGCCAGCCCTTCCCCCAGGGCACACTGAGATTGCAATTGAGCCTGGGCATGGTGATGCACACCTGTAATCCCAGCTCTTGGGATGCTGTAAACAGGCGGATCACTATGAGTCCTATCTAGTAGTGAGACCCTGAACACCCTGTAGACCCTTCCCTAAAATATAATAAATAAATAAATAGTTCTGGCAACAATTTAATTGGATTATGATTTCACAGTTTCTTTTAGGATAGTGTTCTGGTGGATAGTTCAATGAATGCATGGTTTGTAAATAAGCTTCAGGGAATATAAATAAATGAAAGGTACTATTATCTAATCACTTTTGAGTCTTGCTGTGTTCTTTGGTATGATGTGGACCTTCTAGACCCAAGTGGTCCTCCTGTTCAGCCTTCTTAGTAGCTGAGACTACAGGCATTTGCTATGGTACTGGCCATGATTCTGTGTGTTGAGTTCTGATTCTTCCAGATGTCATTATGAGAGGGTAACATTTAGTTTTGGGACAGCCTTGCTGATAATATCTCAGTCTTTTTGAAGGGGGCAGAATCTTGCTCATAGATCAGGCTGGCCTTGAGTTTAGTGTACAGCCCAGATTACTTGTAATCCTGCCTCAACCTCTGTGGTGCTGAGATTACAGCTGTGTGCTACCATACCCAGCAACATTTGTTTTTATCATAGCAAGCATATTATGAGTTGCATTTTGAAGGTTTTTTGTTTGTTCTCCTAGTAGCTGTAAATTCTTTAAGGATAAAATGAAGAAATTAAGTCTTTTTGATGTCTTTAATTGCCTAATATAACACCTATAATACCTTGTATTCGATTCCCTAAATTGTTTTTGCTGAGTGTTTTCCAACTTAATATTAGTAAGCAGTTATTCTTTTGTACACAGTAATATTAATACAACATTCCTGTGTAATTTGAATCTCCATAAAATTAATAATGATTTCTTCATATTTTTAGGAAATACCTTTTGATTGAAGTTTTCTTTTTATTTGGTGGTGCTAGTGATAGAAAGCAAGGTCTTCACACTGAGCTACATCCCCAGATATTTTTATTTTTTATTTTGACACAGGGTCTTGGTAAGTCACTTAGTGCTGGGAAGAAGTGACTTGCCCAGGCTGGGCTCAGACTTCAGTCCTCTTGCCTCAGCCTCCCAGCATGCTGGAATTACAGGTGTGTCCCACCACATCTGGTTTCATTGAGGTTTTCATAAGTCTGCAATGCAGTGTTTATAGTTTTAATTGAAAGACAAGTTTAAAATAAAATTGTGGGTCAGTGGAAAAAAAAAAAGTGGGGCTCCTTATAAAAGTGTTTAGAAGTTCACACATCTTGTTCTTTGCAGGACAGTCATTGGCACCATGAACTGGAATAAAGGTGGCCCTGGCACTAAGCGGGGGTTTGGCTTTGGAGGTTTTGCCATTAGTGCTGGGAAGAAGGAAGAACCCAAACTCCCACAACAATCCCACAGTGCCTTTGGGGCAACCAGTTCTTCTTCTGGATTTGGAAAGTCAGCTCCACCACAGCTTCCTTCTTTCTACAAAATTGGATCTAAAAGAGCCAACTTTGATGAAGAAAATGCGTAAGTTGGGCTAGGGGTATGGTTCAGTGGTAGGGTGATTGTCTAACATGCAAGAGGCATTGGCTTTGATTCACACCCCCCAAACAAAACAAGGGAAAAGAAAGCCAGGCGTGGTGGCACACACCTGTTAATTTCAGCACTCTGGGAGGCTGAGACAGGAGGATGACAAGTTTTATTTTTTTTTTTAGTTGTTTTTTGTTTTTAAATTTTATTGTGTGTGTGTGTGTGTGTGTGTGTGTGTGTGTGTGTGTGTGTGTGTGGCCAGCTCAGCCCACCAGGGGGCGGGGCTGGCTGGCATGTGGTGCTGGGGGATTGAACCGCGGTCCCTGTGCTTTGCTAAGCTTGTTCTAAGTAGGTGCTTTAGACCACTGAGCCATCTCACCAGCCCAATGACAAGTTTTAGCTCAGGCTGGGTAACTTAGTGACTTAGCAAGACCCCAAGTCTTGAAAAGTGAAAAAGGAGAGGCATATAGCTTAATACAAAGGCCCTGTGCACAATCACTGTATCATACACAAAAAGCATAAATGGTAATTCCTGATGATTTGGCAAAGGATGCCTCAGCAGCCTCCCTAATGCTAGAATTATAGGTATGCATTACCACGCCCAGTTTATTTAATTTTGATGTAGGGTTTAACCAGAATTTTTTTTTTCCCTGGAACCAGGGAACAGTATTTTATTTTTGTTTATTAAGAATTATAGGGCCAGGGAAATGGCTCAGTGGAATAAGCGCTTCCCTGGCAAGTGCAAGGGCCTGAGTTCAATCCCTGGTTCTACAAAAAAAAAAAAGGTAAGGGCTGACCAAATAGCTCAGTGGATTAAAGCACCTGCAAGCAGGTACAGGGGCTGGGGGTCCTATCCCCGGGCCTGCCCTACTGGCCCTGTCTCCAGGGTACGCTGAAACAACAATTGAGATTGGGCATAGTGGTACATGCGTGTAATCCCAGCTCTTAGGAGGCTGTAAAGAGGTAGATCACTACGAGTCTGATCTAGTAGTGAGACCCTGAACACCCTGTAGACCCTTCCCTAAAATACCAAAAAAAAGGTATTAAATGCTGGGCTGGATAGGGGTGCATGTCTATAATTCCAGAACTCAGGTGGCTGAGATAGGATTACCCCCCGAAAAAAAGCCCAGAGTTCCTTGACATCCATTTTTGAATTTTGTTTTAGGAAAAGTGGTGGTTTATTGAGACTTTAAAGTTACCCTTTCTGGTGTTTTTGAGACAGGGTCTCACCACACCCTATGTGTTTCTGCTTTCAGGTATTTTGAAGATGAGGAAGAAGACTCCAGTACTGTTGATTTGCCTTACATTCCTGCTGAAAACTCCCCTACACGTCAGCAATTGCATTCCAAGCCAGCGGACTCTGACAGTGATGATGACCCCTTGGAGGCATTCATGGCTGAAGTAGAGGTGGGTATTAGCAGTCTGCTTCATTCAACTGCTTAGCAACCAGGGGCCGGTGAGGCAGCTCAGCTGACTGAGTGCCTGCTTAGGCAAGCACAGGGACTGGCATTCAGAGGCGTTGGTCCCCAGCACTGCATGCCTTGCCATCCTCACCCTCGGGTGCGCTGAGCCGGCAGCTAAGTCCAGGTGTGGTGGCGCATGCCTGTAATCCCAGCGCTGGAGAGGCGGAAAACAGGAGGATCACTACAAGTCGAGCTGTGTAGTGAGACCCTATACTAAATATGCATTTAAAAAAAATTATTTAGCAAACAGGAATAATTAACCTTACTCAAATTTGTCTCTCTCTTTTTTTAATTCTCTGTATCCTCTTCCTCTGTTGTATTTTCAGAATGGTGAGTGGCTATAATGTGAACACAGTAGCTCAAGCATTTTTTTCTGAGATACTAGGGATTGAACGCAGGAAACACCAAGCTGCATCTTCAGTTCTCTTATTCTTTATCTTTAGATAAGGTACTAACTAAATTGGTTAGGCTGATCTTGGACTCCAGCCCTCCTCCTTCAGCCTTCTGAGTAGCTGGCATTGTATGAACCAGCGTGCCCGGCAGAGGTCAGGATCTGCACATCTTGCTTTATTTTAGTGATCTTAGCATACTGCATAGAATAGGAATGGTCTTCATTGTAGCATAGGTGCTTTTTTTTTTTTTTTTTTTTTTTGACAGAATCCTACTTGTTAGTTTAGGGTGGTCTTGAACTTACTCTGTAGCCTTGAATTTGCCATTGCAAATTCCAGGCTCCTGTCCAGGTCTCCCAAATACTGTTTACATGGTGTGCCACCATGCCTTTGTGTGTGTGTGTGTGTGTGTGTGTGTGTGTGTGTGTGTAAGACAATCTTAAGGAATTCACAAAAATTTCAAATTCTGTATTACCTATATTGAAATTAGAGGGGATATACCCCACCACCCCTTTTAAACTCTTCTAATTATTTACTTTTTCTTAACAATTTTTTTCTGTGAAAACATCTCTACTTTTACTTGTAAATGATTATTGGTATACCAAATAACAAGTTTCTTTTTTTTTCCTTTTCCATTTATGTACTTGGAATAGGGTCTCATTACACATATAGCTCGCAGCTTGAACTCGTAGTGATACTTCTGTTTCCAGCCTCCCTAGTGCTAGGATCACAGGCGTGTGCCACCATGCCCAGACTTGGTTGCCAGCTCAGTGCACCCAGGGGTGGGGCTAGAATGGCATTTGGGACTGGGGATTAAACCCTGGTCCCTGCACTTGCCAAAGCAAGTGCTTAGTCTGCTGAGCTGTCTTGCCAGTCCTCAAATAACAAGTTTTTGAGTCCTATCATCTAGTATTTTTTGTTTGTTTGTTTGTTTTTTTCTTTTGTTTTGAGGCAGCATTTCACTATGTAGTCGAAGAAGAAGACCTGGATCTTATATGTATCCCAGGCTAATTTCAAACTAATGATCCTTCTGCTCAGCTTCCAAATGTTAGGGTTATAGGCGTGTACCACCACACCTGGTTCATCTAGTAATTTTGGTTAAAATAAATTAAGTACAGCCTGAGCAAGTACATTCATAGTCACTGTTCTAACTTTTCCTTGGGATGTACTTCTTTAAGGCTGGCTGCTGCTTCAGACATATTACAAAGAACTATTTACTACTGTTTAATAGATAAAGGTCCTAACCTTTAAGAAAAGTATAAGGAAAAAAGTCATTTAATCCCTCCCTTTCTTTAAAGAACTTTTTTTTCCTACGAAATCTTAAGAAAAAGTTAATACTGGCACATATGTGGCTTGAGCTAAAAGGTACGAGTAAACAGGCAGTGTATGCTCATTATGTTGCTAAGAAATACGAGGTAAAAAAAGGAAATTTTTGGCAAAGGTGCGTGTCTGTCCAAGGAAGCTAAATATGCTACTTTCCAAAAAATAAACGCAACTATTATGCAACATAAATAATTTAAAGCATTTCATAAGAATAGAAATATTCCACGAGAGCTTCTACAGTGCCAATCTAGGAAACAGGTGTTTCTTCTCTCCATTTATGTGATAGTTTTCATGGGTTTCTGGCTGGCTGTCGCAGACAAACACCAAGAGGTTGTCCAGGTCCTGGTCGCTGTTCTGGTGAAGTAGCCCTGGAGGATGGGAATCATCTTCTGGGTCTTCCCCACTTCACTCCTGCAGCTGCCATGGCACCATACGGCTACAGCTTCTGTGGCCTTAAACTCTTTTCTCTCTCTGCAGGTGGTACTGCTTAATCTCAGCCTGAGCTTGTTGGCCTGTTTCCATCTCTGATTCTCTCTTTTGCAGGCCTCACACATCTCCACAGCCTGCTTCTCAGCTTGCAGCAGCTGCTGGATTCCTTGCAGCTGGCTGGCCATGGCTGCTGTGACTCAGGGCAAGTGAGCCACCTAAGCTGGGGTGGCAGCACTGCAAGTCAGCTTCATGGAAATTTTTAAACATATACAAAAGCTAAAAAAACTAATTTCCATGTACCTGCTTCCCAGACTTATAAGTTAACCACTTTGAATCTTTTATTTATTTATTTGATAGAGGGTCTCATGCAGCTCAGATTCATAGTGATCCTCCTGTCTCAGTCTCCCCAGTGCTGGGATTACACACATGCGCCAACAAACCCAGCTTCGGTGGCTGGCATAGCACACCCACGGTTCCAGGGCCAGCATGGCGTGCAGTACCGGGGATTGATCCCAGGTCCTTGTGCTTACCAGGCAGCCACTTAGACCACCAAGCTATCTCCCCAGCCCTCAGTTAACCACTTTGAATCAACTATATCCCTCTTCAATTTCTTTCTTTCTTTTTTTTTTTTAAAGTCTTCTTTTTTTTTTTTGTGGAACCGGGGATTGAACTCAGGCCCTTGCGCTTGCCAGGGAAGCGCTTATTCCACTGAGCCATCTCCCCAGCCCGAGTTACTTTATTTTAAAGAAAAAAAAAATAAAGACAATGGTACAAAATCTCAAAACAAGATTTTAGGAGACTAACAATGGTTAGTACATTGTGTATTGTTACTGCCAAAGTAGTTTCTCATATTTTAAGATATAGGCAAGAAATAT